TTTAATTCAAATACAAGTTACATCTAGTTTTGAAGCACTGACAAATATTAATCAACGAAGTTGATTCTAATTCTTGATATTATATAATAGAGTTTCCTGTATAATTTACTGCCGTATTGTTTACAAAATGGAAATATTGACGTAATCGAAAATGTTATTATAATCAATTTATTACATTAACTTTATTAATAAAAGTGTTTATGCATCCAATTCTAATATTTAATTTTCAGTCATTCAATATTAAGGTTTAGATTGACTAAAATTTTCATACTTTATGCAAAAAAAAAAAAATATTTCAGCTATTAATAGAAAAATTGATTAACGAACTATTATTTAGATAAACTCATTAATGAATATATTGTCTCATTAAAGTGTACGCAATGTTATTATATTTCCTGCGCGCGCATAATTTTCCCAGTTAATCAATATTTTAATATTTGCTATCTAATATTTAATTTATTAAATAACTTCTTCCTTTTTTTTTGATTTATTTACTCACTATCATTAAAAATTATAATTACAAGATAATTAAAAAAAGTTTTTTTATTTTTAAAAAAAAACTAAATACATTTAACAAGTGTTATTTCTATTATTAATTTTCGGGTTACTTTATACGGTACTTGAAATTATCGTGTAAATGGTCCATTTCGAGTGTTATTCAGTGTTACAGAGGTGAAACTGGTTATTATACAAAGGACGTTACATACAGAACAGAGATTGTATATTTGGAAAATTGTACAAGATTTCATTGCACACACGTGTATGTAATAAATATATGCATAAACACGCATGTATTTATAAACATAATAATGTATACAATACACACACACATGTATATTTAAATCTGTGTGTATGTATATAAACTGTATATGTTGGAGTAAAATTATTCATTCCTAATGGACGAATGCAAAAAAATGCACCAGAGAAAAATGTATTCTGCATCTTGATTTCACGAGAGAAAAAGATATAAAAGAATGGTATTGATTAAGTTTGACGTCAGAGCTACGGTTTTAAAAGACCGATGATACTGAGTATTTTATATATATTTTTTTATATATATATACATATATATTTACAACGAAAAACATGACAAAGCACCTCGTTAACCATTTCGAAATATAAAAATATCTGGAATATTCAATTAATATTCTTATATAGTTGAACTCAATAAATCTTAAAACTTTTTATGCGTTTGCACAAAAAGCTTAAATTTGATTTAAATAAAGTAAAGAGTGGAATTTTTTATTTAAATTTATATTTAAATTTAGACGTGGAAATGTATATATTTATATACTTTTATTTATTTAAAAAAGGAAGGTGGTTACTATTTCTAAACAATATTTTATAAATTTTATAAATTTTATAAATTTTATAAATTTACATTTAAATTTAGACGTGGAAATGTATTTATTTATATATTATTTTTATTTAATTAATTTATTTATTTGAAAAAAGCTAGGTGGTCACTTTTTCTAAACAATATTTTATAAATTTCATAAATTTATATTTAAATTTAGACGTGAAAATGTATTTATTATTTTTATTTATTTTATTTATTTATTTGAAAAAAAGGACTCACAAGGTTACTTTTTCTAAACAATATTTTGTAATCCTTTTTGTCTAAAAAACGGATTTCTAATGATAAATATGTTTTCTTAAAAAGTTTTTCTATCAAGTTTTGAATTCAAAACAAAAATTTTTTTTTAGTTTCTTTCAAAAACAAATCTCTAAAAATCCTCCTCCAAAATCTTTTTTCTCTTATAAATTTTAGAATTCATAGAAGTTACAAACGATTGCAGAAATTCAATTATTTTTAAAACTAATTTTTTAATAAAATTGAAATTCAATTATTTTTATAAATAATAAAGCTTATTGTAGAATTTGAATTTTTAAAAAAATTATATTTTTGCAAAATGTTAATAATTCAAATTCTTCTTGAAATTAGTTAAATTTGTCAATAATATATTTAATTAATTATTAAATATAATTGATTTATAGAAAAAGTTTTGTTAAAAACATTTTAAAGAATTGAATTTTAAAGAAGTTACAAATGATGATTGCAGAAATTAAATTATTTTCATAAAAGTAATAAAATTCTTCTTAAAAAAGTTCAATTATGTTCAAAATTTTAAAAAAAATTCTCTTTAAAATTACAATTATCTTTAAAAATAACAAAATTTTTCTCCAAAATTCGAATATTTTAACAAAATTTTCCTGATTTCAATGATTTTCAATATCTACTATTTTAATAAATTTCCTAAAAGAATTCAATTTTTAAATAAAATTGTACACAAACGTTTACAAATTATTTTCATAAATAATAAAATATTTTTATGAATTAAATTATTTTTATAAATAATAAATTTCTTTTAGAAATTCAATTATTTTCTAACAAGTTTTGTTTTTAAAAACAAATTTTCTAAAAAGTTACGATTTCTGATATTTGTATTTCCGAAATTTGTAAAATTCTATAATTTCGATAAATATATAAATAATAGTATAACATAAATTTAATATATTGATAAAACATTTTTTTTATAAAAAATGTTCTGCTTGTTAATTACAATTTTTAAAGAGATTATTTTTAAATTAAAAAATTTGCATAAATTCTATTTTTTTTATTTCAATTTTTTAACAAAATATATAGTATTTTTTTTAAAGAATTAAAAAATTTTTATGAATTAAAAACCAAGTACATAGTATAAAATTTTTTAAGGCAAACTTAAAGTCAGTTCACTTTTTCAAATTATAGCAAAAGTAGTAAAAAATTGTTTTAGTCAGACAGGCGTTTTCAATATATATTTACACTGGCATTGCAACAAGATTTTTATACAATTTAAACAAATTTTTTTAAAATTACAATCGAAAAAGTTGTTGACAAAATTGAAGGTTTGATGCCTAAGTAGTATAAGTCAATTTTAGTCAGCCATTGTAATAAATAAAAAATTAGAAACGGAAAATAAGGAAATGAAAGTGACAGAAAAATTAATAGAAAAATTAAAAAGTTGTTGATAAAATTAGTGTTTCGATGAAAGTAGTGTTAGTCAATTTTAGTCAGCCTTTAGAAAAAAATAAAAAATTAGAAATGGAAAAAAAAGGAAAAAAAGTGAAAAAAATCTATTTTACCCAACAGAAAATTATATTTAAATTTTATTTATTTATTATTATAATTTTGTTATAATATAGAGCTCGACAGTACTCGACAGTAAATTTATAACAATGCCTCCAGAAATCAATGAGAATGAATTTTTATCTCTTTTCAGAATATAAAATAAATAATTATCCCAAAAAGGGAAATATGTCAACCGTAAATTAAAAAAAAAAAATATATTTTTTACTGCAAAATGAAAATATTATTTAATTTTACAAAATTCTGCTCCACTGAATATTTTTTTAAACGGAAAATGTTTTTTTACTCTTGGGAAAAATTATATATTCCAAATGGTAGAATTTAGTATCCTTTGTAAAAAAAAATGAAAGAAAAATGTTGAGAGAATCGTCAATGTTTGCTATTAAAAACTATAAATGTTTGACTTTATGTAAAGAGAGAAAATCTCCTAACATTGTATGCCATGTTTCTATTATTCTCTTTTTTGCTTGTTTTCAATAAATATTCAAATTTCCTCAAAAATACTAAAAAATTTTATTAATTTTTTTATTTCAAACTAGTACAAAAATTATTGTGGATAAACAATAAAAACTAGTTTATCTAAAAGTAGTAAAAAAAAGTTCGTTAGATTAAAATGTTTAAAAGTTGAGAGTAAGTAGTACATGCTAATTTTAGTCAGACATTACTATAGTTTATAATTTATAATATAATCTAGAATTTTTTCATTAACATTATAATTTATAAGTAGTCAGACAGATAGTCCTATCATTGAAATTTGATCAAAAGTAGTAGAGATCAGTTTTTAGTCAGACGTAAATAATTTTAAAGATTTTTTAAATTACCAAATAAGTGAAAAAAAGGTTATTTTATAAAATATAAATTTAAAAAAGTGTTTTTTTTTCATTATAAAAAAGCGTCTAGTTGCAAAGATTAAAAAGACAGGATAGAGAAGAAAAAAAAATTGCTATTCTACATTGTAATTGAATGGGTTTAAATAGAATTTATGGAACTTTTTGATATTTTTCTCATCGTCTCCGATATTGATCTAAGGTTAAAAAGTGGATTTTCCTCCCTAAATGCAGAATGGAGGATCTTTCATAATCGAGGGTTGGATCAACGTCAGATTTTAATCAGCTTCTCAGAGAATAAAAATTCAATTTCATCCTACAAATTTTACTTTGATACTCTTTTTTTTCTTATTCGTTTATTTAAGTAAAATAATTTTTTTATGAATATTTCATTATTCTAATAAAGACATTTATTTATTCAAACAAATTTTATGTCTCTTAATTCAAAATTTTAAAAATTAAATTCCTTTTTGACAAGTTTTTTTTTAATTATTTTCTAAAGTTTTAGCACAAATTTTAATTCAAAGATAATTTTAAAAATTAAATTCTTTTTCGCAAAGTTTCTTTTATATTCAATTTTATAAGTTTTAGCATAAATTTTAATTAAAGATGATTTTAAAAATTAAATTCTTTTTTGACAAATTTCTTTTTTATTCAATTTTCGAAGTTTTAGCACAAAATTTTAATTTTGGACAATTTAGTTACAAATTTAAAAATTAAGTAAGTAGTAAGAAAATGTCATAGTCAGACAGCGTAGTTTCAATGACTAAAATTTTCGTACGAGTAGTAATGGGACTTTTTAGTCAGACAATGAGTTTAAGAATAAAAATCTGGGTCGCGCAGTAGTACAAGTCAATTTTAGTCAGACACTGATTTACTTATCAGTTAAAACGCACGTTCGATTCCCGACAACTGAGAAATTTTTTTCGCTTTAAAAAAAAATTCGGATTTATTTTTCTCATTATACTTTTGGTACTAATTAATTTAGTGAAAAATTTTTTCAAAAAAAAAACTAAAATTCTGAGAAGAAAATTGAAAGTTACCTGTGTATACGTCATCCAACAGCAAGGCTCGACCTGGTTGGAATCAAGGCCCCAAAAATCCAGTTCCTCTTCAAATAATGGTCCACAGACATCGGTGGGATAATGCAATTTGCCCGTTCTATAATAATTGAGAACTTGTGCGAACACTCCCGGATGTCTGTCGAAAAAATACTCGTTGAGGATGGGGTCATAGTTGGCCAAGGCTTCGGTCAATCTCGACAGCCTCGTTGCCGGGATTTTCTTTAACGTCGCCTTGTAGGTCTCGTGCCTTATGCCGCCCACATTCAGAACCACGCGGTTCTCCGCGTCCATGTTGATCAGGTTCATTTTGACCTAGGCGCTGCTACCGTTGGTCCCAATGCGAAAATAACCACCTGACCTGCGTCAAATTTAGGCCAAAAATTTTATAAACAAAAAAATTATTCCCAAAAGAAAGTGCTAAATTGAAAACAATAATAAATATAATCAAATAATATAATTAAATAATAATCTAAATTTAAAATAATCAAATGTTTAACGTCCGAGTAGTTTTTATGTTCTTTACTGGTAAATTTTTTTTAATACACAGTTTTTCTAAGGATACGAATCTTCGATTCGTTTTTTGTCTGAATTTAAAGGGAAAAATTTGTTAGGAAAACTGATTTCTAAAAATCGAAAAAAATTATTGCTACATTTTTTTTAAAGTTTCTTTCAAAAGCATATCTCTAAAAAAGTAAAAATCCTTCTCCAAAATTTGTTTCCTCTTATAAATTTTAGAATTTATAATTCAACGAATCAAAGATTCGTAATTGTCTCATTTTAATAAGCTTAGAAAAACTGATTTTTAAAAATTCAAAAAAATTATTGCTACACTTTTTTAGTTTCTTTTAAAAACTTTTTTTTTTAAATCCTCCTCCAAAATTTTTTTTATCTTATAAATTTTAGAATTCATAAGACAATTCTAAATTTTTGTGTCTTTTTTGCTATATGAAATCACCACGAATTCTAATATAAAACCTTCTAATTTTTCTATTTTTGACAGTATTTTCTTTTTATAACTTCATTCTTGAAAAACTATAATAGAATTATTATTTAGAAATTAATTAATGAATAACTTTACTTAAATATTTCAATATTAATTGACTTTTAAAAGAATTGAGTTTACAATTTTCTTAAATAGATGAAAGGCTTTAATTTGAAATTTTATAAAATTTTAATTTTTTAATGAATTTAATTAGAAATTGATTAGAAATTTAAAAAAAAACTAAGATTTTTGCAAAAAGGTTACCTAATAATTCAAATTCTTCTTGAAATTAGTTAAATTTGTCAATATATATTTAATTAATTTCTAAAAATAATGGATTTATAGAAAAATTTTAGTTAAAAACATTTTAAAGAATTGAATTTTGTAAAAGTTATAAATTATTGCAGAAATTCAATTATTTCTAAAAGTAATAAAATTCTTAGCAGAAATTCAAATATGTTCAAAATCTAAAAAAAAAATTCTTATCAAAATCACAATTATCTTTATAAATAGCAAAATTCTTCTCTAAAATTCAATTATTTAAAAAAAATTTCCTGATTTCAATGAGATTTTCAATATCTACTATTTTAATAAATTTCCAAAAAGAAGTCAATTTTTCAATAAAATTTTCAATAAAATTTTTTTTATGAATTCAATTATTTTCATAAATAATGAAGCTCATCGCAGAATTTTAATTATTTTTCGAACAATTTTAATCGAATTCCTCGAAATATGTAATTATTCTTAAAAATTTTATTTGATATTTGTTTATAAAATTCTTTATAAGAATTAAATTAAAAAAAATATTCAATTATTCAATAAAATATTTACTTTTGTTTCAAATTAAAATAATTAAAAATTTTAATTTTCTATACTTTTAACTAGTAATTTTGAAGAATTAAGTTCTTTGAAAAAGTTTAATTTAATTTTTTTCTAAATATATTAAAGTTACATGAAAATTTTTCCTATATTTTCATAAGTAAATTTTTGTTCAAGAGAATTTTTTCAAATTTTTGGGATTTTTTCTACGCTATTTCATAAGAATGTTTATAAATTCATAGGAAGTTTTCGATAATATTTTAAATTATTTAAATTATTTTCAAAAATTTTCCTGATTTCAATGATTTTCAATATCTGCTATTTTAATAAAATTACCCAAAAGAATTCAATTTTTTTAATAAATTCTAATTAGTATTCAAATATTTACAAAAAATTGTCATAAATAATAAAAATTTAACAGAAATTCAATTATTAACAAATTTTTTATAAATTTCTTCTCAATAATTCAATTAATATCGTAAATAATAAAATTTTAACAGGAATTTAATGATTTTTGGTAAATAATAAAATTCTTATCAGGAAGTCATTTATTTTCTTGAATAATAAAACTCATTGCAGAATTTCAACTATTTTTTGAACAATTTTAATCAAATTCCTCGAAAAATATAATTATTCTTAAAAATTTGGATAAAATTCGTCAAAAAAATTCAATTGTTTAAAAATTTGTTGATAAAATTCTACATAAGAATTAAATTTTTAAAAAAACATTTAATTATTTAATAAATTATTTACTTTTTTATTTAGATAATTGAATAAATTTGAAAAGGTTTCAAATTAAAATATTTGAAAATTTAGAATTTTTTTTACTTTTATTTTGAAGAATTAATTTTTTTAAACAATAATTTAAAGTTACATGGAAGTTACATGGAAATTTTTTCAAACTTTTGGGATTTTTTTTACGATATTTCATGAGAATTTTTCTAAGTTCATAGGAAGTTTTCGATAATTTAAAAAAAAAATTTCCTTATCTATAATAGTAAATTTTTCTAAATAATTAGTGAAATTTGCTTCCTAAATTTTTTTTGGGAATATGTCCAAAATTTTTCTTACAGTGTACTTTATTGAAGAATTTTCGAATAATTGGAATTTCGTAAAATCGAAATTTAAACAAATTTATTTGAAAATTCTCAAAGAACTTTTTTCAAAAATTATTAAAAATAATTGAAATAGAGAAGAATTTTAGTTAAAAATTCTAGAATATAATAATTGAATTGAAATCATAAAAATAATTTTAAAAGTTACAGTACTAATATTCTTAGTATAAAATAATGATAATATTTTTATAACTTGTTTAATTTCAAAAAGATTTGAATTTGACATTTTTAAAAATCTTAATTCCTGTTGGAAAAATAATAATAAAATATGTATTTAAAAAAGAAGTTATTCATGTTTTTGAATAATTTTACAATTAAAGAAATTCGTGAATAAATGTAACAGAACATTTCTTTGAGTTTAATTTTTTTCTTTATTTTCTAAAAATTTGCAAATTTGCAAATTTCATTTTCAATTAAAGTTTCACAAAAATAGAATTTATAAATATTTTCTTCCGTTATTTTTAAAAACCTTTGAATATTATAAAATCAATAAAATTGTAATTAAGAAATAGAAATGATGCAAATTATTTCCTTATGAAAATTTGAGAATTTTCTACAAAAATATTAAGAAATGGGAATGTTTTTTTTCTTAAAAGAAAAGAATGAGTTTGTCGATTATTATAGTTAATTAATAATTCCGTCGAAGTAATAATTAATCGAAAATTTTCGAGAGAAGTGAGTGCAAATTTATATAAATTGATCGCGTATATATATCTATTACTATTCCAACTTCGTCATCAGTTAGGGAATCAATTGGCATCTCTGAAACGGTGGCTAGAACTCGTGATACGTCAACTACTTCATATTATCGTGTTTACTCACACCACACTAATCCCATTTTCGTAATAGTTCATCTTCATTGATAATGGCAATAGACCACTTCATTCTTGCAAAATTTATGAGACGACGAGGCGGATTTCAATATAGTTGTTGGACGTGAGAAAATTTTGTTTACAGAATGGAAATTATATGATATTCTAGTTACAATATTTTATAGTTATAGGAAGTTATGTTTATTATAGATATTTTATGGTACATTTTAACGCTTTGTACGTTATTTTATAACTTGTTTGTATATTTACGAATATACATACATATTTGCATTTTATAATAAAATTTAAATACCAACTGTAAGCGTGAACAATAACTTTTCTTAATAATAAAATGTGAACAATGAATTTTGACCAATATAGAAATAGAATGTAAACAATATGAGGATTGCTTTGACCCAAGTTTCATTTTGTAACAAATATAGAGTGTGTGAGTTTCATATTCCTCTTGTGAAAATGCATTCTGCTTTAATGGGATTTAAAGCCTTATTGTGGTGAATGTTTTAGTAAATAAATTAGTTTTCAGTGTATTTAAAATCTTTATTTAAATTTTCACGATGATTTGGATTTTACTGTGGAAAAAGATTCTTCAATTCAATAAAATTTGGTGAAAATATTAATTTACCTAATTTTACAAAAAGCTTATATAATATATATATATAATTAAATATTAATACCAATAGTAGAAAACGTACTAGAAGAGACAAATTTTTTTTGTAAATTATGCTTTGATTTTTTCATCCATTTTAAATCTATAATTTTTTTTTCGATTCTATGAATTAAAAGCCAAGTAGTATAGGAAAAATGTTAGGCAAAAAAGCAGTTAGAATTTAAAAAAAATTTAAAAGTCATGTTAATTTAAAATAAGTAGTAAAGAATAATTTTAGTCAGACTGACGGTTTTAATATATTCACCCTAGTTATTACATTAAGATTTCTATATTATAATTTTTTTCTTAGTTTCAATCGAAAAAATTCTTGACAAAATTGGAGTTTGGATATAAGTAGTGTAAGTAAATTTTAGTCAGACATCAGAAAAAATAAAAAACAAGCAAGGAAAAGCAATCGAAAACAGGTGATAGACAAATTAATAGTAAAAATTAAGTTTTTCCTGTAAGTAGTATAAGTCAATTTTAGTCAGACATCAATTTACTTATTCGTTTTTACAATTATCGTATAAGTAGGAAAAAGTAATTTTAGTCGGACAGATTGCTTTAATAGAAAAAATAGCAAAATGTAAATAGGATTTTTAGTAGTAAAAATAAAAAGAATTTTGGTATTTGAATTATTTAAATAAGTAGCTAAAACATTTTTTGTCAGACGGATTGAAAATTTTTGGAAACACTCTCCAAGTAGTAAGGGTCAATTTTAGTCAGACGTAAATTCAGTCATTTTTTAAAATTTCAGTATAAATAGTAAATAAATTCAGTCATTTTTTTAAATTAAAGTATAAGTAGTAAAAAATTGTTCCAGTCAGACAGGTTTTTTTAAAGAAATAAAAATTTGCTGTCAGGCAATTAGCTTCAATGATTAAAATTGTCGTACAAGTAGTGATAGGAATTTTTAATCAGACAAAGAGTTTACCAAAAAAAATTTAGGTCACAGTGGTGAAG